GAATGATGGTGTTGAAGGGAGGGCAGAGAAATGGGGAAAAAATAAGAACCAAGGTATAAGGTACAAATTCCCATGATGAATGCTATCATATTGTATACCTAAATCATGCCAATACAATTAATGAGTAAAAAAAGAAAAGAAAAGATCCAAAGATCCTTCACTAAAAACTGCCAGAACTCCTCTGAAGAAAGGCAGTCACAAGGGCTGCCTTGCAAGTACAATGTCCTGAGTTAGATTCCCAGTACCAAAAAAACAAAAACAAAAACAAAAACAAAAACAAAAATTACAATGAAACTTCTCCCAGAAGATCAGCTAATATCTTTACTTACTGTTCTCCTTTTTTGTACTGTTCTGACTAGAATTCCCCCTAAAGTGGATTTTCCATTACCAGAACAATACTAAATCAATTCAGCTAGGCATTCACTTTCAATTTGACAGTCAACTAACCACTATATAGGTGTTTATGAAAAGTGTTATAAATACCTATCCAGAAACAAATTAGATTTTTAGTTCAGACAGTTATTTGATGTGCTAAATACATGCATTAATGAATATAGTTAAGAGGAAATCATTTAATTGCAGTGACGGGAGAGAATCAAGTGATCAAAATGACAATTTACTTTGTATGCTGATATGTGATGTGGTGAAATTGAATAGTGAATCTGAATGAACTAGGCCTAGATTTTTATTCAGACTTGAGCAAAAAAATTAATAAATAAAAGGCATCAATGAAACTCAAGATTTTAGTTTTGGATTTCTGTCCTTAAAACTCAAAATGGAAATAGTTAAATCTCAACCATGTAAATAGGCAGATTTTTAAATACTACTACATAATTCTTGAAAATACAGACATTTTATGAGTTGCCTTCAAGGACTGTGTTGCTTTTTATGAAACTGCATGGAAAAATTGAATGGATGCATCACTTAAAATATATTAATTTACTGGGCTGGGGATTTGGCCCAGTAGTTCTGCTGCTTGCCTCATAAGCACAAGGGCCCAAGTTCGATTCGCTGTACCAAAAACGAAAACAAAACTGACAGTGACTCCTAGAATTTAAAAGTATCTGTATTTGGGCAGGGGATTTAGCTCAGCGGTTCGGTGGCCTGCCTTGCAAGCACAAGGACCAGAGTTCAATCCCCGGTACCAAAACAAAAAAAAAAAAAAAA